AAACCACACACCCCCATTGCTCCCTGAGCCTATTTGGTTGACTTCATAAAAGAGACAACCAGCTACAGCATGACTCTAAATCAACCAAACATGACACAACATGACTCATTAAATACATGCTTAAGATTTATTTGATTTAATATGCTTCCAAAACTGCATATTTTTTTTAAAAACAAAGCAAACTTCACAGTCTTGAGAAGTTTCCATCTCCACTGTACACAGTTGGAAAGTGTTTACAAAATGTACCGAAAGTTCCATAGACAGCCCCTTAAGGCTTGAGTTTAAATTGTCAACAATTTCCTATTTCTTGGTCCACCGATTAGAACAAATATTAATGTATTCCTCTTACTGAATAAATTAATACCGGTTTTATCTCTGCTTTAATGAACTCTTTTGGAAAACACAACCAGTGGCAGAACTAAAATTTGCAAAATCAATCCATACTGCTACTAATGTGTGATGCTACATAGCTAAAAATGAAGAGTATGGAGAAAACTTAGTTAAGTTAGATTTCAGAAGTTGCTTTCCTATAGACAAATCATCTAAAGCCAGTAATATTTAAAGCTGCCTTCTTTGTGTGTTCTTCTCAATATTAGCAGTAACAATTTCCAGGCAACATATGTGTAAATTTTAAACTCGGGGCAAGTCTGCATGAAAAATCCAACAGTAATTCTAACAGTAATTCTTCTATGTATGTCTACAAACATCTCTACTGTTACTCCTGTAACTCCTTTCTTTTGTACTGTATCATTTCTTGAAATAAAAATATGTATTAAATAAAATAAATCCTATGAAGAACTTGATGTTATGCAACAGAAGGCATAATGAACTCCCAGTTTCACTCGTAACCTTGAGAGGATGCTAAAATAGTCACACATCCACACTGAAGTTTAATATTATTCATAGAACATACCACCCACCGCGACACATCCTGGTATGTATAAGACACTTAATAATGAAACTGCTATCAAGTTATCTGAACTTGTGGTTGTAGTACCTTCCTGTTGCAAGTTCCAGGTTTCATTTCGTATCTTGTATCAATGCCTTTCTCTGTTTTTTTCCTTTTCAGCCTCTGCTTGTTTAATTAAATCTCTACATACTCCATCAGAACTATTTTGTCTTTTCTTATTTCACATATTTTTAGTATGTGCCTTTAGAGTTACGATCTATACGACTAACAATATGTAAATACTTAAATATACCAATGTTATAGGAAGGATGGTAAATATTGCTGTAAAGAATCCATTTTTTGCAATTCCAGAACAGTAAGAAGTGCAATAAAAAAGGGGTTAAGGCAGAGACCTCTTTTGATTTTTTTAATCTTTCTCTTTTAAAGACATCTTACATCTCCTCTGTGTTGCTGTCCAATTAAATATAGCACTTCATACAAGCTAGAACTATGTTCATAATATTTCAATGAATCTGAAAGCAATAGGCTGGGAATAATGACAAAGTAAAATTCCATCAAGATCTTAATAGAAAGTAATCCAAAGCCAAGAAATTACTAGGCTGAAATAACTCACAGAAGCAGTTAGTTACGTTTTTTAAACAGTAAGTGGGATTAGGAGGGGTTTTCTGTCCCCTATCACTCTCCTTCAGCACACCTTTTCCAAAGCATATCCTAAAAAAACAGAAGTATAAATTAGCACTGCATATTCAAAGAGCTAAATAAATTTTCAGTACCAAATGCCAGAAGCATGTTATACTATGTCACATGCTCAGAACAGCCTAAATGTAGTGCTGTTAGAACCAGTCAAAAGCCAAGTGAGTTTCAGACAAATCAGTTTCTGAATTTTTAACACAACATGGGCCAACTACTACTGACAGTTAAGACACATCCTGAGACATGGTAGCCGTAGTTACTGTCAGGAACAGGCGCTTCACAGAGCTCTCAAAGACTCTGGAGAGAAGAACTGCCCTGGATACAGTTATCTTTGTTGATGCAATATGCATATCTCTTGTTAGGACAGCACTTCAAATAGCCCAGTATTTTTCACTTGCATAAGCATATATTTATGGCTTAGTTACGCACACTTGTGACAACATCATTTTTTGTATGTTTGTTTTTACCCTAATCTTCCATTATTATGCCACAGATTCGGCTTTTACTAAAGATATAAATAATTTGCTGACAAAAATTTGTAGACCAGCTTCTAATCAAACTCCCTAACTCTTCTAAGTGAGCAACTAACTCCACATCACAGGGAATGCAGAATGAAGAAGGAAAAAAAACAAGAAAAGAACGCTTCAAATGCCTGAGCATGTTAAATCAGCTTCCCTAGACTCATACAGGAGACTGGTATGGTTACTTTGGCCAGAAGGCATTGCTACCTCTATAGCAGTTTGCCACTGTAAATAGAACAAGTATTAACCCAGTGGTAAGTACTACTGCTCTATGAACAGACTGCAATGTCTGATCACTCCTTGTTACCAAAGTAACGCAAAGTCTATAAATCACTACAAACACCTCAAGTTTCATGCAAAGCACCCTGGAGACCTTCGCTAGGCTAAGACAGAAGCAGAGTCAGAATGACCACTTACTGCTTTTGCATCTGTTCACACTGTTTCCATTGCTGCCTTTTTCCTATGGTAGATGGGTGATATGAATCTTCTAATAACATTAAAAAGGGTCAATGCTAATAAATCAGGCACCTATAATGTTTGAAAAAGGATTGCTAGTCTTCAGGGTTTCTGTGACTTCTTAGAGCAGCCTTTCACTCCTGAATATCCTCCACAGCACAAGACATTTGTGCACACAGTCTTTTACAGCAATAAGCAGTGCTACTGTATCCATCACCAGCTTCCTCCTTGCTTCTTTACGTTATAAGACCAACCCCTACTCAAAAAACACCCTATCCCAAAGTCTGAAATCCGTTCTGTAGTAAAAGTCCTCTTAGCACCTTGCTAAGGACATCAACTGTGGCAACCTTCAGAGAAGGTTGGGGGGCATTCAGCTCCATCTCCAGGAATAATTCCCCTTTCACTGGTAATGGAAGGAACTCAGCAACTATGACCATTCTATGCCACCCCATTCCATCCCAAAAAGCCAAGCAAAAGAAGAGACAGCTTAAAAAGAGTGTTATGTAGCAAAATCACAATGGAAGCAGGAGGCCAGAACTTAAAATTCAGTTTGATTTTGTGTATGTTAAAAATAATTATATGACAACATTAGGAATACATAAAGCCCATCATCACAAGTCATATTTCAACATAAAATGTCAGAGAAGTACATGACATCTAATTGTTTACTTAGACTTTGCAAATGTGATTACATTCAAGTGATGGAGATGAACAAATAAAAGTTGTCAAGAATTTTCAGAATACTACATTACAGAACAAAAACTAGAGAGAACTGAAAAACAAAACTGCATCACAATAAGCAATCTTCAAATATCTTTTTCCCACCCTGAGGCTAGAACAGCTGCAATGGGTGGATAAGGCAGGAGGATAGCACAGCATCTTCCCAGAGGAAGAGGCTTCAACAGGCTCTTGATTTCGGTGCATCACTAAATATGCTCCTTAAGTTTTCTAAAACCACTTCAAAATATTATGTTTTTTCCCTCCTTCTGGCCATGAACATGTATAAGCAGTTCTTTTTAACTGAAGAGCTGGCAGACTTATGAAAGAAATCTGGCAGGCTTTCACAGAGCTAAGCTATCTTTTTCATAGCAGAAAAACAGAACAAACACCAGGATATTCACAGAATCACAGCTTTGGTTTGAAGGGATTTCAGGACTTGATCTTGTTCAACCCACACTCAAAGCAGAGGCTATTCAGTACTTTATTCACTGGCAAATTTTCAGTCCTAGCTAGTCAGTCCAATTGCAAGATTCATGCATTACATCATTACTTGTCCAAGCATTAAACAATTCAGAGTAACCATAATATTTCTTCAAAAGGCTAAGACCGTATATCTTGCCTTTCAAAAAGTAATAGCATTTAAAAGCCATTATATCTACCTAATGCATCACTTGGAGTTGGATAATGACCCATTACAGAAACTGCCTCTTCAATAGTCACATACATTTGCAACAAGAAAATTAAAATTCCCCCTCTAAGATCTCCTAATCATTGTTTACTCCAAATTCACAAGTAAAAAACAGGCAACAATAATTAGACTTCCAGATGAAGTGCCAGTTTATCATATTTGAAACAATTACCAATAGATACAAAATACCTTAACAATATTACAGTCTGAGGGTATCAAGTTTTTCCTTTCAGCAAAGCTGAACTTAGATTGACAGTAACAAAAACAAATCTAATCTCAATTTTTAAACAACGCTGACATCTCAGCATTCTCCATAGAGATGCTCATCTGCTAATGCCAATAAGTTTAAGCTTCTCTAAACATCACCCTTAAAAACTATCACCAAAATTGAAAACTTGATATTTGGATTGCCTCCTAAAAACATCATTTACAGCAGATTGAAAGTCAAGTTGAAAAGTGCCATGTTTCTCACAGAGTGCATTATTCAATGTATATTCTGTATGTCAAGAAGGCATTCCTTCATCTTTTTTATGTATTATTAGCAGTCAAAACAGAAAAAGTACATAGGCTAGAATTTGTTGTGCTACATACAATTAAGACTTTTAATTATTTAATATTTTAAATACAATTCCTTAAGCAGGTAATATATGGTCTCGATTTGAACTGTCATTTTACAACAGCTATGCAATTGGTATTTTTTAACTATTCCCCTCCAGAATGAAAAATACATTTTTCAGTATTTTGTTAAAATATCTAATATTTCAACTCAGAGGCTCACCAATTGTAAATAACTTTCAAAAAAATCAGATCTCCTCTAAATGCTTCCATTTTCATGCTTTAATGCTAAGAATCATACAGAGATCTGTAAAGTATAAAAATGGCAGCAGACAGAAAACACCTTTCATCCACCAGAGATTACATGAAAGCATGCATATATAAATAATGGCTATTTCTGACTAGCAAATAACCAGAAAACATGCAGACACAGTCATTTCAACAAGTGGCATATTACCTGGGTGGAGCTGGCAGCAACAGAAATGCAGTCAATGAAACCATGTCTCCGAGTGAAAAATGCAACTATCTGCTGCCAACGGGAAGGCTCGTTCCGTAACTCATCTGTCGAGCCTTTCTTTGCCCACTGCTTGTGCTTTGGGCCTACAGAACTGTGGCTTGAGCTCGTGTTGCCTCGATTGGCGCGAGAATAGAGGAGTGTGTTATTTCCGAAAATGTAATTCATCTCTGCAGCTCTGCAGGTGGTTGCCAGGCAGTCTTACTTCCCTACCAGCTGCTGAGTGGTGAATGAGCAGGGGGAAAAAAAAAAATGCAGCTAGAATTACAGCAGCATCGTTTACAAACCAGAAAAACAAAATTCTCAATAGCTGATGCTATTTCTCTTCGAGGCTTCTCCACCCCCTATATCCCTTCTCTACCTGTGAAGAGCATAATCTCGAGCAACTATAAAGGCAATTATTTTTTTTTCCTTTTTCAGAACCCTCAGGATTGAACGCTTGTTTTCCCTTCCTAGCTAACAACAGATATTTAAGAGAAACTGGGTAGCAGGTACAGCACATATTCAGTGCTATGAGGATGGTGGTGCATGATAACAGCTACTGGGTGGAGAAAGCACGGATCAAAAATAACCAAGTTTCAATCATTGCCTGTAGAAAGATCCAATAGAATCTTTTCACTTCCTTGCTTGCATAAATTATAAATCTGAACTGAAGAGAACAGGGAGCATGCAGCATAGCTGCATTTTTTCAGATTCTTTCTGAAAATATTTCAGAGCAAAAAGACATTAATATCATGCTTAGAAAAAACATTCATGAAACAAGTGTCCGCAGATTTCTTTCTTTCTACACCCCCCCCTTTGCATAAAACAACTACAGAGGGAAGATACAATTGTGTTATTTGTGCTGTGTATCAACAGATATCCAAGGAAGGATTTTTTGTTAGTTTGGTTTTTTAAGACTAAGAATATTAAGATAGAACAATAGAAATCAACAATTCCATTCTTATTCTGATTAAGGTCATCATCAATATTTCCAAAATTCTGTTTCTACTGTAAGCATAATACAAAAATCAATAATATGAAAATATTGCGTCTCAAAAGCACAAGAAATGACAAAAAGTGGAAAATTCTCATTATGCACTAATGAACTGTCACTAAAATTATTTGATTGCCAGTCCAAATCACAAAAATATTACCTCTATGTGTGAGTCTTTTTTCTCTGCTCTCTTCACTGTAAAAAAGAAGTCACATACTCAATATCCAAAATATTTTAAGAATTCCAGTTACCTTATAGAATCAACCACTCAAATTTTTGTAGTCCATTATTTTCTGCAAAATGTTCCACCTCACACCAAAGAGATTACTTCAAAAATCAGTTAAGTGACAAGGCTCGCAGTACAAGCCTCCGGAAAACCAAAGTTAACAAAACTGTTTGTGGTGGATTTCTATACAAAACGCTCTGAAGTTCACAATCGTAACACCAGTGTAAACATTTTCAAAACCTAGAAAACCCTAGAAACCATACTGAGATATGATGAACAATGGCAGACGAGCTCCTTACAACACGGCCACAAGTTACACAACCACAATTCTACAAATCCACTGACTCATGATGTGTATTTTGTTGGGGATAACCAAATTCCCTCATGTACTTCTTTTTGGTGCAATATACCCTTTGCATAGCACATTCTTTCTGACAGCTATCCTATTCTGTGTAACAAATATTTCCTGACACATTACAAGGACAAATGATAAGTACATTAACTTAAAAGTGTGGTAATAAGATCAATGCACCATTTACTTCTAGTCACTAGCACAGGTCAATAGCATCTTGCATACAAATATTCCGAGTAGATCTTTCAGACAGACTTTATTAATATTCGTAAAACACAATGGCTTATCGGTTTAAGTCATATGAAATTCAGTTTGACTTGTGCACTGTTCTCAAAGCTATGTTCATGAGACAGATAATAGAGATAAAGAAATGCCCAAGACATCACAGATGCAATCATCCTTTTAAAAGGGCCGGCTTTTTTATAATGGTAATTCTTTTCATGGGAAGATGACAGCCCTACCTGAACCCTACCTTTTTTCAGACTTGCATAAAACATCTAGCTTGAAAGATTGCTACAAATTTACTACTGGAGGAATCTCTTAATCCCTTGCTATGACTGAAAATGCTTAGAACAAACTACAAATCATAAGCTGTAAATTTCAAGTCTTTATAAAAAAGAGTCAAAGTGAAAACATTTTTTACATTTTTCTTTATACGTCCTTCAATTTCACCATTGTTGCACATTTTTTAAAGGATCTGAGAGCACAAAGAATATTAATAACTTTCAAAAACACATATTTAAGAACTCAATTGTGTGTGTGTATATATATATAGGTATGTACCCCACAGGCTCTAAAAGGAGAGTCACATGGGAGTATTGTTAAAAATTCTGAAAGGAAAAACTACAGTACATGGACAAGCAATGTACCCAGTACCTATTTTTCTTGCTGTTCTATCAATCTTTCTAAAGATAAAACAGGTTTTGCTGTGTTTTAAGGCAGTTTCTTTCAAGGATGATTCCCACTCACTCAATTATCATCTGTGTTATCACTGACAATGAGACTTCAGAAATCAGCACTTTAGGAAAGGTTCACCTGGACAAAAATAAATAAATAAATAAATAGAATTCCTGAAAGTCAAGCTATGATGATTTCATTTAAATGGAGACAGAAATTCAGAAAAGTACTTCAGGAAGAGGTTATGCAATCACACTGGTGATATAAGATAGGAATCTGTCACCTACACTCCATATGGTCGTTAACAACACTGAGCAAGTTTTGCTCATGCCTAAGAAGATACAGTTGCAGTTATTTGTAGAAGGAGCCTGTAACTGTTGTGATGAGACAAATCCTGACTTTTAGAAGCTAAAAAGAAACCTGAAAATAAAGGCACAGCATAACTCCAGAGTTGGTGTAACATCAGGATAATGCAAAGGAGTCCAGATGAGAAGAACAGCCACTTGTACGGTTGAAAAAACAAAGAGTGGGAGTGAAAACAAGGGCTTTGGTTAAAGAGCATTCAACAGAGGATCAAACACCTACAAGCAGAAATCAGATGTGCTATTTGGACAGAAAACAAAGTATCCAGAGAAAGGAGAATCTAAGAATCATCAACACAGACATGGTAACTGAAATTGTATCTGGACTGCCTCCAGAGTCAGAAGGTAGAATAGGGAGGAGGGGAGAAGGCTCACCAGGGAATCTGAAGAAGTTCTAAAGGGAGCTGAGAGCTTTCATTTTCCCTTTCTTGTATTTGATATTGAACAGGTATAATATTAAAACAAAATACCTCACACAAAATACCAAACACCCAGCTAAACAAACAAACAACCCCTATTTACTGTGAGGAAGAAATATAGAATTTGCAGATAAAATACCAAAAACCCCAGCATATAATTAAGATTTCTATGTGAGTACACATACCTTTCTACAGCTTAATAAACTTACTCACAGATATATCTGCATTTGTAGTGGATGCAGAGTAACATCATTTGTTCTGCAGCCAATTAACAAGATACAGTAACCACAGCAGATACTGGATTTAAAAATTAACATCAAACACTTGAAACAAAGTTACTCTGCTTTTGTACCTGACCTAATTCTTATTATTAACTTGCTAGGACAAGATGAAACGTGATGTAACATCAGATTTCTAATTTCAAACATAAAACTTCCCTGGACTTAACTTTACAATAGCATGCATACCTTGAAATTAAAAATGCACAGCAAGAAAAAGTGTTTGAATATGCAAACAGCACTTATACCTCAATTATCCTTTTTTAAACACTAACAAAAAAACCCTTGAAACATTTGACAAGTGTCATATTACTTCTACTACCCTTCTGCTAAACAGAATATTGGCTAAAATATTCACAGACCCCGAAGAAGCGAACTTAAATACTTAATACAGAAAATTAAAGAATCATCTAAAACAACATCAGGGAGTTATTTTCAGTATCTCTTAGTTTTACACCAAAAAAAAAGGCAAAAGAAATGCACAGAATTCAATTAAAATACTCAAATATAGACTATGCAACTTCTAACTGCCCAGGCAGGGGAAAACAACCACTGAAAATACAGATATAAATTCATGTTTACTTTTTACGCTTTTCAGAATGTCTATATTTAATACATTTTTAGTGGCATAACAAATTTAAGTCTCATTAATAAACATATGCTATATTCTAAGCCAAAGCCCAGTAATACCCTACTCAAATTGGACACTGTGGAAAAAGAAACTGTTGCCCCTTTCTGTTAGAAATACGTTAGAAAGATACGTTAGAAAACCTATTGTAGTCTTCAGTTGAGAGATGAGACTGAAAGGACAACCCTTGATCAAGTGAGATTTACCTAGTCAATAAAAAGTAGGTATTTTACTGCTGAGACTACCTTATAAGTAAACACCCCAGCATGATTATTCTGTACTGATATATTTTAGTATAAACAATGTAATAAGTATTTTGTATTCAATATTACTCATACTACACCTCAGACAACATACCAATCTGTGCAGATTAAACTGCCTGGTCTTCCATACTCTGTTCATGAGTCTCCTGCCCATCTTTTTGGCACGCCAGACTGATAAAAACATCCTGTGCTTAACGCAAGTGTCTTCAGGATTTCTTCAGTCCTCAAAATGAACCCAACTGCACTGAGAGCTCTGGGGAAATCTCAGGCAAAAGGAGAATAACCAGTTATTAAGAAGACTTGATGTTGATCACTAGTTGTTCCAATGTTTGGATTAATCCACGGTCCATCTGTTACAGTTTTTCTTTCTTGTCTCAGTTGACAAATTTGTTGAGCAGCTGCATACTGAGAAAGGGGCAGATTTGGTCAACTGCTTCTTACTATAAGACACAAATGGATGCCTCTGCACATACTTACATATTCTTCCATTCCAGGAAGTTTAAAAGAAGTCACCTATCAAGAAATTTAATTTTAATGAAAGATTGCACCTCTCTCAAGAACGACCACTGAAGTACAATGCTAGCCTAAAAATTAGTATTTCTGAGGATATGTTCAAGTTTTTCATACACTCTAGGTATGTTTC